ATCAGCTCTACAGATATCATTTTGGAGAAATTATACTACTAGTCCTTCATCACTTTAAACGAAATAGGGTGAATATATTTCATATATCGGTTAGCTTTGCCTTGAAATCGGCTCCAACACACACACACACACACCAAGGTGTCTATATGTAGGCTCATATGGTCACGGGCAAATTTTTCTCCCTCTTAAACTTGCCCATAATTTGCCTTCGAATCCTGAGATTCACTCTTCCAATAGTTAGGCCTCAAAAATATACAAAAATTGTTCTCATTGAGGCTGGAATGCAATTTCGACTTCGTCTAGGTCTCATCAGTTCCCTCAGCTGTAACATGTTGAAATTATACGTTGCGCCACCTGGGTTCCATTCCCTTTGGGGGTTCTGATGAGCTAAAGAAGAGGTCAAAACTGCAGCCCAGTCTAAATGTGAATAATTTTCGTATATTTTTGAGGCCTCACCGTGGGAAAAGTAACTATCAGTCCTTCATCATCTTTAACAATCTAGACTTACTGAAGCTCTTAATTTATTTGCTTCTTTCTCTTTTAAAACCTTTTCAAGCAAGTTGTTCTTGCTGCAAATTTCTTCTGCCTAACGCATCTAAGCTACTGCCTGAACTGCTGTAGACCCCTTAAGTACCACTAAAGTGGGGCATATTAATTGTTGTTTGCTTCATCAAGTCGCCTATACTCCAGATGTGATATAAAAGAGGTTTTTGCCCCGACCAGCGGGGCATGCACAGCTTGATTCCCATTTTGGTTAGATTGGATCTAAACCCCACCTCAGCCTGGGCAGAAAAACACTTTAGGGGTTTGGTGTATAGCTAAATCTACCGGAAAATCTGGCTCTTTGCATTAATTATTTTTAATATCAGGCCGCCTGCGTCAAGCCCCATTGCTCTTCTTTTCCTATGCATTTTCATGAGCTCAATTCTTTTACACATGAGATTTAGTTATATAATAAACCTTACTTATAAACGAAATGGCATTTAATGTTTTTCTTCATTTGGATATTCAAGTGTTTTTATGTGATATGCAAGCTAGAATTTAGAAATTGACCCAATTTTCTAGTTTTTATGTTTCATTCTAACAAGATCTTCACTATTTCGCCACATGATACTCATGAGTCCACATGAGCCCAAGCTTAGAAGCATACATTCCCATGTCTATCTCATACATCCCAATTATGATCTTGTTCCTTTATAGCTAGTGAGCAGAGCTGTGCATAGTGCTCATCTCCGCTCTACCCAGTACTACATTGCGTCCTCTGATCGTGGTCTAGTGAATTGCGATTGAACCCTTGCCAGTTTGAAGGGTCAGATTAACGAGGGGCAATGGTTAGTTAACCTGTAAGCTCGTCCAAGGGCAAAAGACACTTTTTTTTGTCCTGCTTTTCCCCTATCTGGCACGTCTGCCCTCTTCATCCCTCTTGGTCGTTCTTTCGCTAGGCCCGTTTGGCAACTTATTTCCTCCACTTCGAGTCAACCTTCTCTTTGTCTGTACTTGAAGTTGTGTCTATTATGGGGTTGGGGGGGGGAAGAGGGGGACATGCGTTTCTGCGTCTATGCCTGTTGGGGGCTGTGTTCCGGCCAGAGTGGCCGCGCATAGAGTAGCTATCTACAAGAGTGCATCTTCGTCTGGCCTGAGGAAAACCAACCACCCAGCCTCGCAAGTTCTGACTATCATAGATACGAACGCATGCACGCGCGTGGATACACGCACACACATCAAGCACGCAACTGTGGACACAACTGCATCCTGCCTTAACTACATCTGCAACTAGCGCATATCTTTCGATTGGCATCAGCCGGTCTCTTTTATGTTAGTTATGTGTTTGTGTGTACATATGCTTGTATATGTCTACGTAGAAACAAGACAATGGCAATCGGTAACTCTGGCCGGTCACCAAGACAGATTTCCCTACCAGAGTTGCACAATACTTTTGGCCTATACACTTGCGCTTTCTGCTCTAGGCTAGGGGAAGTTGCTTGGTATTGACCAAGATAAGGCTTCTTCATCATAGCCTATCATCTCGTCATCTGAGGTTGGATCTAGCCTTCTGTTTATGTCTCTCTCTCTCCCTTCCTACCTCTCAAATTTTGCTATCGTCTCTAACTAAGTATTTTTTTCTGTCGCAGTATTAAGTAGTTACGTTGCTTAAAACCTTTTTCTCTACTTTATCATGAATATAAAGTGATTGGGACAAAAACGAGGTCGTGTGCATCGTGGCGGCTCTTCATCAGTCTGCCACACAGCCACAGGCGCCAGTGGGTGGTCACTGGGCCGATAAGAATTTCAATGCTAGAAGACCCTTCCCCAATCACACTTATTGTGGGAGGATCGATGAGACAAACATCTATTTGTATTATATTATATTCACTGCGAGAATGTTGCAAAACTATCAGTAATTCTTCTATGAGAACTAGACCATCATGAGTCGCTTATAGGGATTTAAAGATTGATAGGGGAATATTTTTCACGATAAACTCACTAGGACCGACGATGTCTTTGAATTTCACTTAGCACTGTAGATGTGAAGATCAAGATGGTGTCGCATTTTTCTCGTTTTCACAGCTTGGTTGGAGCGACAGGGAGATCTTGTAGAACGTACCTAGTCCTGCATCCTTTCATGCTAATTTCTAGCATCGGATCGTTGACTTGGTAATTCGCAGAAGCTTCGCCAATTTTCTCTTCAGCCGTTGTGGCATTACTCCTCGCTCCTGTTTTGTGTTTCACTTTCTAGTGTTGCATCTCTCTAAACTCTACTTCATATCG